CCCAGCATGAACTAATGAAATTTCCATTGCCAGTTTATTTTTTCTAGATGTAAGGGAGTTTTACTTAAGTATTTAAGGATTTATGCTCTTTCAATAAATAACTGCTTTAAGTCAGCCTAGTCAAACACAATTTTCCAACACATTTCATTTATTTTTTGCAACAGAAGTCCTAAAATGCCATTGAAACAACATAAGGAGTGTTTCACCAATAGTACGTAGCCCAAATAAGGACAAAAACAGAATCAAGAGGATATACTCTAACTGGAGGGAGGTGGCAGGAATCCCTAATGACTAAATTATGTAAGACTCAGCATTTGATTTGTCTTACTTGGGAAACAACTTCTTCAAACGAAAAAGGCTTGCTGCCACTGTGAAGATAAATTTTCTGAGGGGAGGGAAATAAATCAAGGCTGGAAATGGCTTTGACACTTCAAGGATTATTAATCACTTTATGCACTGCTTATTTTTTCACATTTAAAAAAAATCACCAGAAGGTGACTTAACATTAGACAATACTGAGTTATTAGAGCAAAAATACAATGTAGTAGTGATAGATGACCTACAACCTACAAACACTTGTGAAAACCTACAAAAAGCTTGAAAGAGAAACATTCAACGACTTTATGCTAGATTTAAACCTGTAGTAACTGCTGTTCACAAAGGTAAATATGTTTTTACAACAATATATTTACTTTGGGTTTATTTTTTAATTGCACTAAGTAGTCACAAGAGGTCACCAAATTAAAATCTACAGGAAAAGAGCAAGTAAATTGTAAACTAGAGAAAATATGCTGTATCATTCTGATTAAAAGGAACTGGTTACACTTACGTAGGTATTTTTGGCTTCAGAGCCACAACCATAACATAAAACACATAATCTGTCTATTATAAGTTTTGTCTCACTTGCTTTGTTTTAAATCATATATGCAGCAGTGTATTAGGATAAATGGCAGCCAAATGCAATCCAAAGCACTGCAAAGTTTACAGTGCAACATGCAGAATTGCTTGACTTTGTCCCACCATAATATTTAAACTAATTTTCCTGTCTCTGTTGCATCTTGCAATAAAGTTGGCATGATTAACAATCCATCTTACTTTTCATCTCTATATGAATTAGGAGGTGGTTCACAGCAGGACCATTACTTTCTAGTCCTGAGTAGTTAACTATAGTGAATAACTGATTGCTAGATTTTCACTGGTTAAAAAATCCTAGGTAAAAAAACACCTAAAAATATAGATGATTGAATTTGACTACATAATTTTTATCTTTAATATTGGGCCAATGCCTGCCTGTCATTTTTATTAAGCCACTCTTGTAGAACAAAACATTCTTACGGAGTATGTAAAGGAAAAGAAAGAAAGCCTAGTGATTTTTTTTCCTCTTACCTTTTACTGATATGTGGTCTCTCCATGCAAGTTAAATTCCGAGTCAAAAAACTGCAATAATTGAGACTGTAACCACTATGTGGAAAACTTCCACCATTCTACTTTTGCTACATCCAAAAATAAGCCTACATAGACATGTATTATGAGAATGTGTTTAGCACATGGTATCTAAGCAACTGTTTGACAAGAACCTGGGCCTTCTTTGTTTGCTTGTAGGCGTTGTGGGGTTTTCTTCCTTTTTTTTCTTTTTTTTTCTTCTTTTGGGGGGGGGGGTTGAGGGGAGGATGTTCATTTGTAACCACATCTCATCCTCATACATCATAACCTTAAAATCTATAGTATTCTTGAATTACATTAAGAATCAGTGGAAAAAGAAAAAGAAAACAGAAACGACAAACCCATACAACTTAGGTAGGTGGGGGGAAATCTTCATAAATCTGAAACAAATAACATTAACACCAGCCCAGAACCATACAGCTTTTACATTTGTTAAGTCTTCTAGACTAGACAGGAGATAGGAACTGCAAATCAGGCACTGAACTGCTAATGAATTTAAACACCATCACATGCCATGTGTTCTAATCATATAAACAATTAATTGATTTCTTCTTTCTCCTCTCCTCCTTTCTCAACTACCAGGACTAACATCATCAAGGAATTTTAACAGAAGATATTCACAACATAAATACAATCCACAGAACACATGTGTATGAAATTCTAGTCAGCAGAAATTCAGAACTGCTCTACAGTATCAGCCATGTTGCTACATATTTCATCCTAACTACTACTACCATCTCAAAATATCAGTAAGTATTCTTTAAAGTTTAACTTTTCATCTGTTTTGACTCCCACCAAAAGAAAACTGACAAGAATGGCAACATTATACATGAAAAAATATGTATTTGCAACAGGAATTACCTCACTGCAGTAATCTGAACTTCCTTTAAACCCAGTGGCTACTTGGTCGCAAGGGCTGCCTTTGCATTTAGTACACAGGGTACTCTGTGGTTTTACCTGTGGGATCATGGAGAGGACATGAGGAAGTGGGATAGAAAACCTACTTTGACCTTATGGGCACATGAATTACAAGGAAAAACAACCACAAACGGTGGTTCTTCCAGGAAAGTTGCTGCTCCAGTCTCTGGTGGGCAGTTACCCAGACAGAGTGGGAGAACTGATTTTACTCCTGATCCTATGGAAAGTATAATCTGCTTCTACAAGTAGGTGGAGAATCCTATGAGCAGTACTAGATGGGCCCTGCCTTCAGCCAGGTGGAGGAAAGGGACAATCGTGTCTGCTAACCTATGTGGATCCAACGGCCTGGCATATCAGAGCCACAGGAGTACAAGGCTCTAGTAGACACTGGTTCAGAGACTACCCTAATGCCACCAACCAGCAGAACCCATTTGTATTTCTGGAGTGACAGGGGGATCCCAACAGCTGACTGTACTGAGGCTGAAATCAGCCTGACTAGGAAGGAGTGGGAAAAGTACCGCCCTGTGACTGATCCAGAGGTTCTGCGCATCCTTGGCACAGACTATGTCAAGAGAAAGTATTTCAAGGATCCACGTGGGTATCAATGGGCTTTTGGTATCGCTGCCTTGAAGACCAAGGAAATTAAGCAGCTGTCTACCTTGCCCAGTCTCTCAGAGGACTCTTCTCTTGTGGGGTTGCTCAAGGTTGAAGAACAACATATACCAATCGCTACCATTACAGTATTGCCACCAGTGCACTACTATGGTGCATCTGCAGCAATATTGTACCAAGATTCCCCAATTCCCATCCATGAGCTGATACGTCAAGTGGAGAGCCAAGGAGTGATCAGCAGGACCTGCTCACCCTTTAATAGCCCCATATGGCCAGTGCAAAAGTCTAATGGAGAGTGGAGACTAACAGTAGACTATCGTGGCCTGAATGAAGTCACACCGCCATTGAGTGCGGCTGTACCAGACATGCTAGAACTTCAGTATGAACTGGAGTCAAAGGCAGCCAGGTGGGATGCCACCATTGATATTGCCAATGCATTTTTCTCAATCCCTTTGGCAGCAGAGTGCAGGCCACAGTTCGCTTTTACTTGCAGGGGCGTCCAGTACACTTGGAACCGACTGCCCCAGGGGTGGAAACACAGCCCTACCATCTGCCATGGATTGGTCCAGACTGCACTGGAACAGGGGCAGGCTCCAGAACACCTGCAATACATTGATGACATTATCGTGTGGGGCGATACAGCAAAGGAAGTTTTTGAGAAAGGGAGGAAGATCATCCAAATGCTGCTGCAGGCCAGTTTTGCCATAAAACAGAGTAAGGTCAAGGGACCTGCACGAGAGATTCAATTTTTGGGAATAAAATGGCAAGATGGACGTCGCCAGATCCCCACAGATGTGATCAACAAGATAACAGCAATGTCTCCACCAACTAACAAGAAAGAAACACAAACTTTCTTAGGTGCTGTGGGGTTCTGGAGAATGCACATCCCAAATTACAGTCTGACTGTAAGCCTTGTCTATCACGTGACCTGGAAGAAGAATGACTTCAAATGGGGCCCTGATCAACAAGAAGACTGTGAACAAATTAAACGAGAAATAGTTCATGCAGTAGCCCTTGGACCAGTCTGAACTGGGCCAGATGTGAAAAAATGTGCTTTACACCGCAGTGGCAGAGAAAGGTCATAGAATCACAGACTTGATTGGATAGAATCATAGACTAGGTTGGAAAAGACCTTTAACATCATCAAGTCCAACCTCTATCCCAGGACTGCCAAGTCCACCACTAAACCATATTAGTGAGGGCCTCATCTACACAGTTTTTTAACACTTCCAGGGATGGTGATTCCACCCCTTCCATGGACAGCCTGTTCCAGTGCCTGACCACCCTTTTGGTGATTAAATTTTTCCTGATATCCAGTCTAAACCTCCCCTGGTGCAGCTGAAGCTGTTTCCTCTTGTCCTATCACTTGTTACTTGGGAGAAGAGATCAGCCACCTCCTTGCTCCATCCTCCTTCCAGGTAGTTGTAGGAGAGGTAAGATCCCCCCTGAGCCTTCTCTTCTCCAGACTAAATCACCCCAGTTCCCTCAGCTGTTCCTCAGGTCCTACCTGGAGCCTCTGGCAGAAATCACCAGAAGACTCGAGGTCAACCCCTTGGCTTTTAGAGCTGGGGATACACAGGATCTGAGGTGCACTATACTCCAAATGAAAATTACCTCACTGCAGTAATGTGAACCTTCTTTAAACCTAGTGGCTACTTGGTTCGAACTGCTGCCTCCACATTTGGGAATCTTGCAACACTTCCTAGTTCCTCTAGTTGTACTGCCCAATTGCACCCCAACTCTACATGAAGATGAATCTTGAACACAAAGCATCCCCCAGTTTTTCTGAAGGAAAAGAACCTGAACAAAGAGGCCAAACAAAACTCCACCAGTTTCCCAACACAAAAGTTCTGGGAACCAGAGCCACAGGACACACCAAGGCATACTGTTGAAAATAACTCTAGAAGGTCCAAAAGCTTTTTGATGCTTGCTTATTTTCAAAAGCCCACTCACCCACAAGTTTCAAAAAGCAGCTGTCCAAAAAATGAAACATTGCTAGTTCAGATGATTTACTCAAGACTACATACCTGCAATAGGTCTCCTTCATCAAAACGTAGCATTTCTATTATGCCATCCGACTGGATGAAAGCTGCAAAGAAAACCAAAAAAACCTAAGTAACTCCACAGAAAAACATTTTGTTAACATCATTAGATTAGAAAGAGCAACTTAAACATCTAAGATCTGCTGTACCTCATTTTGCAGATAGAGCTATGACAAACCAAAATAACAATGCAGTCTAACAAAATACCAAACAAATCTGTGATACTAATCTTCCTCTAAGCTCCAATTTCAAGAAGTTCATATTAATATAAGTACCACACTTCACTAATTTGTCTTTCAGTATAAAAATTTTTAACTCCAAAGTGAGTAACTTCTTCTAGGTTCCATAAAAAGACTGGCTGTAGTACCAAGCTAACTCAGTACTTCAACCAGTATGTCAGACTGGGTACCTAAACAACTGAGTTTAATACATTTTAGCCCACAAGGAATTCTGATGCTTATGAAAAGAAATTCAGTTTCATTTATAGACATAAAACCTTGTCTGTACGTCTGGAAAGCCTTGTCCATGCTGCTCCCTAAACCGCTGTGTGGCAACAACTCTCTATCTTGACAGTAACATAACAAGATTTGAAACTGTCTAGAAGTGTTCGTACCATATGACCAAAATCAATGAAAAGTTCATGCCTTAGTCTCCTACAAGACCCTTGAATTAAGCATTCCTCTTCTACTCATTTCATCTAAATGCTTAGTCAGGCAATTGTTCTTCAATTCCTCTCAAAACGTAGGGAATGCTAGTTTCTTTTAAAGACAAAGAAATAAAGGCATTGCCCTTCCTGTAAAATATAATAATCTGTACAAGAATAAACATGAGTTAAAGAGGAAAGAAAAGTTCAAAGAGGTTTAATTTTTACTCCCCCAAAGACTATTCACATATACACACACAAAAAGAATACAGGTATTTAGGATAAAATACAATAGCAACCTCAAACTAGAAAGCTGTATTAAAAAAAAAAAAAAACAAACCAAAAACAACACAAACACTATAAACACCACCTTTTCCCATGACTGCCTTTACCATTCAGCTAGATAAAGTTGAGAGAGCAGTAACATACACCTTTCCACAAAAGAGGAACAACTTCAACAGGAAGAAGCTAAAGTTATTTCCCACCACACAGAAGCATAGCGCATTCTTCTGAAAGGTAGAATTTGAATCCCAGTCTGAAAAAGATTTAAACCTTCATCTCTCACTTTGTAGGTCAGTGTTCTAACAAGAACAACTATTATAACGTCACCAACACTGCCACTTGTCCCTAAGATGTTTTAAAAGAAAGTGGCATTACTTTCAGAAAACAAGAAAGAAGCATTCTTGGTAGACAGGAGTAAAGGCACCTACTACACAGAGAAATGTTATTTTTGACACACTATTTTTTAGGGTTAGTTCTCCCAATTGTTTCCTCACTGGCTGCTTTAGTGACACCTCAACTCAGCACCCAAAATCCAATCTGCTACTTAGCATACCACTGTTTGCACACCCCATTCTGCATCCCTGACTTCCCCTATATTTTAATACCTTCTCCAAAAACGTACAAACTCCACAACCTTGCTTTCATATGACCAACAGTAAAAGTTAACATAAACAAAGATTGCTGCTGTCATCTCCAGAAGTCTCTTTGGTTATGCAAAAAAGGCAAACTAATAAACAAAAACACCAAACCACAAGATTCCATACAATTATTATCCAAGCTACCACACCTCAGAATTCTAACATTTAATGACACAAGCTGAGAAAGTGGCTCAGCTCACACGGAAGTATACAAATCACCACAGAGAGGAAGGGAGGGTTCAGATTATAAACAATATGCCAATCCTGCAATATTAAAAGTGCCATGAGCAATACTAGTCAGTCATGTCAGGAATATCTTAGACTTATTTTTGGGGGGTATTTATTGTTATTACATTAACGATTTTCAAAACAAACAAAAGCCATCCTTAACCCAAGCATCAGAGGTTTGGCCAATCATTTATACGGAAGAACTATACAGAACATTGGGAAAGAGATTAAAACGAAACAAAAAAACCCAGCATTTAAACAGCCGTTATGAGATCAAGTTCTACAGCTTATGAAGATATGGGCTCTTCATTTACTGAAATTACTGGAGTAGGTCTACCAGTTTAAAGTTTAATCCTAGAAAGAAAGAAGTGGATTCTAGTTGATTTAACTGGCAATGTACAGAATCATAGAATAGTTAGGG